TTTTTTTGATGAACTATTCAAGGACAAAATTCTGAAAAATTTTATAGTTCGTGAGGTTGCAATTTTATTTATTCTACCAAAAAAAAAAAATAAAAATATTATTAATAATATAAACATAAATATATTTTATTTATTTTAAAGTTTTTTCTCATAAAATAAAAAAATAAATAAATAAATAAATTATTCCATATTTTTTTTTTAGGAAAAACTTTTGTCTGTCCTTTAAATTTTTTTTTTTTTTTTTTTAAATTCAAATAATAATAATTAAAAAAAAAAACATTCGAAAACAAATGAAATGTTTCATGTTGTGTTGTCTGTTTGTTGTTATGTATTGTTGAAAAAAATATATATTTAATTTTAAAAAATAATAATAATGATTAAAAAAAATTTTTTAAAAAGATTTCTAATACAGGAAATAAGGAAAAGATTCGAGAGTACAAAATCAAATTCAGTACTTATAGAAAATCCTCATCAAATTCCCGAAAAGCTAAAGGTAATAGTAGGTAAATTATTAATTATGTTCTGTGTAATTATAATAATAATAATAATAATAATGATGTTGTTTTAATTTTAGGAAGTTCCGACAAAGGAAAATCCATCGTTTGTCGATATGGTAGAATATAATTTTCACAGAGCGGTTAAAAAATGCGAACCTTATTTTATGGAAGTTCTCCTCAACAATGAAAGGGTTGCTTCGAAAGAAGCCGAAAAAAGAGTTAAAGGAATAATCGGAGTCATGTCACATTGTAATGCAGTTTTATCGATAACTTTTCCAATTCGAAAAGAAAATGGAGAATATGAAATAATAAGAGCGTATAGAGCTCATCATAATAATCATAGAGAACCGGTCAAAGGCGGTAATTAAAGTTGAAAAGTGAAATTTTTGATATTTAAACAAAGGTTTTATTCATATTGAAAAAGTGTTGTGTTTCCCCCCCTCCCTCCCTCCCTCCCTTCCCTCAGGAGAAAATTTCTTTTATTTTTTTTTTGTAAATTTTAATTTAGGAATAAGATTTTCATTGGATGCTGATGCCGAACATGCCATGGCTTTGGCTGCACTTATGACTTATAAATGCGCTTGTGTTAATGTTCCTTTTGGTGGAGCCAAAGCAACTGTACAAATCGATCCAGCAAAATATACTGTTAGAGAATTAGAAATGATAACAAGAAGATTTTGTTTAGAATTAGCCAAAAAAGGATTTATAGGTAAGAAGATGAAGAAGAATGGTCGCCATTACAAAAATATTTTAATAATAAAAATTTTTTTTTAGGTCCTGGACTTGACGTACCTGCTCCAGATATAAATACAACAAGCAGAGAAATGTCTTGGATAGCCGATACATATTCTAAAACGTTGGGTTACAGAGATATAAATGCACAAGCTTGTGTCACTGGTAAACCCATTAATCAGGGTGGTATTCACGGACGAATATCTGCCACGGGAAGAGGATTATTTCATTCCATAGATAATTTTATTAACGAAAAAGAGTGGATGAGTTTGATAGGTTTAACTACAGGTTGGGTTGGGAAAACGTTTATCGTTCAGGTAATTTTCTCTCTCTCTCTCTCTCTCTCTAAAAACCTACAAAAAAAAAGGTTTTCTAATGGAAATTATTTATTTATTTATTTTTTTTTTTCAGGGTTTTGGTAATGTAGGTTTTCATTCTGCTAGGTATTGTTCCCGTGTTGGTGCTAAATGTGTAGGAGTTATAGAACAAGATTGTAGTATATATAATGAAAATGGAATAGATGTTATAGTAAATATTTTCTCTCTCTCTCTCTTTCTCTCTACACGATAATAATAATTATATTAATAATAACGATAGAAATAATTATTTTCAGGCATTAGACAAGTATAAAATTCAAAATGGTACGATAAAAGGATTTCCGGATGCAAAAATATACGAGGGTGATCTTCTCACAGAAAAATGTGACATACTCATTCCGGCAGCAAAGGAAAAAGTAATAACGTTAAAAAATGCTGATAAAATTCAAGCGAAAATAATTGCTGAGGGTGCTAACGGACCCACGACTCCCGCAGCCGACATTATTCTCATGGAAAAAAAAGTCCTCATCATTCCCGATTTATATGTGAATGCTGGAGGAGTAACCGTTTCGTATTTTGAATGGTTGAAAAATTTAAATCACGTTTCGTATGGAAAACTCACGTTTAAATACGAAAGAGATTCAAATTATCATTTATTAGGTTAATTATTCAAATAATAATAATAATAACTTTTCATTTAAATTTTTGTTATTAATTATCATCATCATTATTATTATTATTATAGATTCCGTTGAAAAATCACTTAAAGGTAAATTAGGTACTGATTTAAGAATACGTCCGAGTGATTCGTTTAGAAAAAGAATTGCTGGAGCATCGGAAAAAGATATCGTACATTCTGGATTGGCGCAAACAATGGAAATGGCCGCCATTAATATAATGAAAGTCGCATTTAAAAATAAATTATATCTCGATTTAAGATTGGCCGCTTATATGTGTTCGATTGAAAAAATTTTTTTAACATACGAAGAAGCCGGTTTGGCTTTTTAAAATACAAAACTATTTTTATTACAGTTTTTAATTTCTTAACCAAAAAAAAAAAAAAAAAAGTGAGAGAATTCATAACAAAACCTGTCGTGTTATTTTTCCCCTGTAAATGTTTTATATATATATCAATCACAGTAAAAAAACACATACATAAATATTTTGCGTTTTATTTATTTATTCATTTAATTATTATTATTATTATTATTTATGAATAATTAATTAAAATCAAATGAGTTACGTCATCACCATGAATAATAATGATCGCTCTCGTCAACGTCTACGTTTTTCTAATAGTTTTGTTAACAAAAAAAAAAAAAAAAAAAAAAAAAAAATGGAAATAAAATTGATTTTTTTTCGAAAAAAAAAAAAACTAGTTCTTGCAACGTAATTAACAACAACAACAACAAAATTTCTTTCTTTTCATTTGTTTTTTTAATTTCTGGTAAGGCCTTGAAAAAAAAAAACATAATAATAATAATAATAATAATAATTTCACAATAATTCAAAGGGCCTAAAACCATCCTTTAGAATGTGGTTGGTTTGTTTAATATTATTTGTTTCCTTATGTTTGTCAAAGGAACAACTAACTATAACTAAAACTTTTTTTTTAAATTTTTTGGTTGTTGTTGTTATTGTTGTGGTTGTTTATTAAATGTTTTCCGGGTAGAAAAGTAAGGGAAAAGTCATGAGTGCGGCAGGTTCGTGTTTGTTTTTTCAATAATTGATACCGAATGAAAAAAAAAAGAAAATTTTATAATTGAATTTTCCGAATCGATCGACGTTATCAATATATTTTGTTTGTTATCAGTTCATTATTTTTTTTGTTTTTATTAATTTTTTTTTTTTTTTTTTTTTTTTGTGATTACAAATCGTCTAAAAAAAAAAAGTTTTAAACGGGAAAATTTTTTTAAAAAAAATACCAAAATCGGGAAAATTTTTTTGTTGCACGCGATAACAATGGCGGCGCCGGATTAACATATCGATTTTATTTATTCATTTTCAGTTAAATTTATTTTATTTTCCATAACGATCGGAATATATTTTTTAAAGGAAATAAAATCATTAAACGACGATACATTTTCTAATGATTTTTCAAAATCATCGTGCGATTTTACATTAAATTTATTGAAGGTTAGTTCGAACGAACAAACAAACACGTTATTATCGGATTTTTGTCGGAATTAATAATGATAATTTTAGGTTGTCGAGCCGGATGATAATGATAACGTTTTATTGTCTCCTACGAGCATCGGAATTCTTCTTGCTATATTACAACAAGGTTCAAATGGTGAAACATTAAAACAACTTGAAAATGTCCTTCAAATGAATTCGAATCATTCTAAACATGGTTACGGTCATGCAATTAAATCACTCGAGGTGGTATCTTTTAATTTTATTTTTTTTATAAAATAACGTTTAAAATAAATTCGTTTGTTTTTTTTTTTTTTTGGGGGGTGGGGGATCCAGAGAGAAACGACAAATTTAACAATAGAATGGGGTAATCGCGGGTACGTCGCACCTGGTTTTCAATTAAATTCAAATTTTTTAAATACCGTACAAGAAAATTTTAACATGACCGTCGAAGAACTCGATTTGACAACATCGACAACGGGTGATGCTGCCACGAAAATAAATAATTGGGTTAAACAAGTAACTCACGATAATATAAAAAATTTCATTGATGCTTGTAATTATTATTATTATTATTATTATTAATACTATTTTCAAAATTCTATTTATTTTTTATTAAAATAATTTTTGTTTTTTTTTTTTTCTTGAAGCATTTTTAACGCCCGATTTCGTTATGATACTCGTTAACGCGATTTATTTCAAAAGCGTTTGGGATTCGCCATTTCAAAAATACAAAACACGAACGGATAAATTTCAAATAAATGACGAACAAAAGGTCGAAGTACCCTTCATGAGACAAGCCGGAAGGTTCACGGCCGGAGAAGATACGAATTTAGGTATTAAATGGATAGAACTTCCGTTTCAGGTAATAAACGAATGAATCCACTATTTTAATTTAAATCCCCAATTAAATTTTTCAATTTGAACTTGATATATATATTTAATTGGGTCTTTTTTTTTTTTCACGATGACCTTTTATTAACTTAAATCAATTAAAAAAAAAAAGCGTGTCACTAACACAAAAAAAAAAATTTATTTACAATAATTATTAAACATGGCGGCGGTGGAAAAAAAAAATCAATGTCAAACAGTGTCGGTTTTCTTTCTGTAATGACGTCACACGTGACGTCACATCCATCTTATCCAATAAAAAAAAATTATAATATTAAAAATTGATTTTACTCACCTTTTTTTTTTTTTTTTTATATATAATTTACAAATTTTTTAATACGAAACACTCGATCGATTTATTGTAAATGACAAATTTAAAATTTAAAAAGGACGAAATCGATATTTTTCGATATTTATTCTCGTATCGATCACGTCGAGTTTAAAAAAAAAAAAAAACAAAACAAAAGAGTGTACCTATTTTTATATTTACAGGATGATAATTTTTCAATGATATTCATACTCCCGATAAAATCACACGGATTAAAACAAGTCATGGAAAAATTATCAGGTACGGATTTGAAACGGATTATCGATAATAAAGGTACGAGACGTGTTAAATTAACAATTCCGAAATTTAAATTAACTAAAAAAGTTTCGTTAAAAGAAACGTTAAAAGAGGTAAATATTATAATTTTTTATTTATTTTATTTTCGATCTATCGATCGATCGATCGATATATCGATTAATGTTTTCTTTCTTTTTTTTTTTTTTTTGTTTTTTAGCTCGGTTTGATTGACGTATTCACAAACGAATCAAATCTCAAAGGAATATCCGACGGTACGAAAACTCTTCAATTGACTCAACTCATACATCAGGCCGATGTTGAAATTGACGAAGATGGTGCGACAGCAGCTGCTGCCACTTTCGA